CTGCTGTCCCTGTATCGATACATTATTAGCAAACAAAATATCACCATACTACACAGTATCAATTTTTTTCCCCACCCCTAGTATTTAATGTTGGAGGGGAAATGGCAAATATGTCCATCCAGACAAAGTCTATACCATAAAGCGAGCTGTCTGAATAATGTGAAAGTTAGTATTCTGCATTTTAGAGTCACTTTTATCTACTCCACAATTTACAATCTTTCTGTTTAGTCCTTGGAAATATACACAGCCACTAAAGTAGTCTAGACTTACTTCACTTTAATTCATATGTAGAAGTGAAGAAAAGAAACCTTACAAGAGACACAAAAACCAAAGAAGAACCTGAGGCTGTGATGTGAGGTTGTCACAGTTTTTTTAAACACTACAGTCTGCTGTCTTAGAACCAGGAGACTGAGACTGGGGATACAAGCAGATTCAGCTTTTCTGCAGAGACTCTGGGCTCAGCCTTAAAGACAGAGTGAGGCTCACTCTGTCTGATAGTATTGGAGGCATGTGAGGTGACGAGGAAATGTCCCACCAGATCGAAGCCCTGGGGCAGATCTCTTCAGGCTTTGGAATAATTCATGGTAGAGTGGTCTGGGCATCAGACTGTTGTCCCCATAAACTGGACTCCAGTAAGTATCAGACGATGGGTATAAAGAAGAAAGGAAGTGCTAAACTATCAATGTGAAGGCCAAGATGATAATAAGAAATGAAACCAGATAAATAAAATATCATTCAATAAAACCAGCCGACAATCTTCTTGTATGGTCTAACTGTCACAATCTGGGAGGCAGATCATCTGGAGGAGGAGGATTTGGACCCAAACGCAGGCACGGACGACAGCGTAGCTGTGAGAAAGTTTATTAGCAAAGAAAGGCAAAATATAAACCGAAGCAGAGCATTGCAGGGAACTACGCTAACAAAAACCTAAACTGGGAACAGCGACAAAATAATAATGAAAGGAACAAAAACCTGCAACCTGAAGAAACACACAGCAGACATACAAGGGTCGACACGCAGATGAACCAGCGACTAACAGAGGGAAACGCAAGGCTTAAATACACAGGGGGATAACGAAGGAATGAGACACTGAAGGGGAACACAGCTGGGAGTAATCAGACATGTCAAGACCAAGGAGAAGCAAAACTCAATACATTGACATAGGACACAGACTTTCAAAGTAAAACAGGAAACACAACAGACACAGACTAAAAGAGAAGAAAAGATAAACGATGACAAAATCAAAGTTCAATAGTAATACAGAAACACTGGGTCACAGACCCAGGACCGTGACAATAACATATTTGTCAGGTAATGATAGGTGCACTTTGACAGAAGAGTCTATGGGGGTCACTAATGTTTGGGGACAGCCTCATGAGTCCTTTTAAGGAACTGCTTAAAGTTCTACCATTAATTACCAGTATCACCCATTTGATGAGGCTGTGTGCACTCCAGTGACATCACCGCATAGAAACATGAAACACTGTGTTCTGAGTCTGTTCACGTTTCTTAGGGGGAGTAAATGCAAAGCCTTAGTCATGCCGCTGAAAATGGATACGAGCCGCTGGAGCCCCGGCATGTTAGCGTCATGAAAAATACATACAACCAGATCTCGAAGGCTAATGGATGCGTGACGCACCCAGAGAAGTGGTGACGCACAGGGTGAGAGGGGAAAAAATCAATTCATATTACTTAGTTAAATCTTACCCATAGTTACTGTATCAGGGCTGCCACTATGCCAGCAGGTAGATATTATGTTTAATGGTTTCAGAGCGCCTTTGAAAAAATGTCTGGAAAATAAATAAAAAATGAAATACATTAAAACATGACATGAAGTACACAGACTGATATTCCTTTAACCCGTAACCGATGAAAATTCACATCTAACTGGACACGATATGATACAAACTGAGTACATCTATGCTATTTAGTTCCATTATGGGGAAACCGGACTGCTACCACACGCTGCAGTAGTGCAGA